ACATTTTTACATCAAAGGAAAAGAAGAGCTAGAATGTAAAAATGTGATCCTCATATGATAAATGACTGTAAATGTAACCACTGTGATAATAAATTAAAAACACAAATCGCATAAAATACAACGCAATTTCTTTATAACATAAATCTTGCCTACTCCTGATAATCTTTTATAAATCTTCTTTCCACTCACAACTTGCTATTATAAAGGTTCATGTATGTTGTAATGAGTTTATTACATACCATTGAGGAATACTCCCTGAACCTTTACAAGTACCCCTAGGATTACATAGCACACTAGTTAAGAACTCTGCTCCAAATGACTGCCACTTCTCGGAATATGCTCCCATCTTTCCCCCTGACTGACTTTTGATTTGGACACAAACGCATCAAACTGATCACTGCTTACAGAAACCAATCAAAAAGGCATGCTTAGCCGCTCGCAGAGGTTTTCAAGCATGCTTTATGAACTGTACCACTGACAGCAGAGTTCTGTGAGCCTCATTATCACTCACCTGTTAAAGGGGTTTTGTAATTAACCCGCAGACTAGTCAAATTCCTTCTAAAGGTTTAACTCTGGTTTTGTTGAGAAAAATAAGATCCTCTCTGGATGAGCTATATACATTGCATGGATTTCAGCACACGAGCTTGCAGATGCTCTGTTCTGTTTGCGGTTCATTTCACTCTGTTCTCTTTCAAACTGATTTCTGAATGGGAGGGGGGGCTGCCTTCTTTTTAATTAAAGTCATCAGTGTTGCACTTTGAAAAGCTGCAGTGTTTGCTTCCCTTTATTTTTATTTATTACAGGTATTTATATAGTGCCAACAGTTTTATGCAGTGCTTTAAATATACTGCACATTCACATCAGTCACTGTCCTTGAGGAGCTTAAAGTAGAGGACCGATTTAGACAGGAGCCAATCAACCTTCCAGCATGTCTTTGGAATGTTGGAAGGAAACCAGAGTACCCAGAGGAAACCCATGCAAACACAAGGAGACCATGTGATACTCCTTGCAGATAGCTTCTACTATAGTAGATGCATTAAATTGTAAAGTCGACATTTAAAAAAAAAAAAAATTTAGGATAGGGTAAGTTAAAAGTAATATTGTTGGTTTTGTTTCGACTTCTTCTTATGGCTGGGTATCCTATTTTTAAAAAATATATATTTGGCTGTCCTGTTGTGGAAATTTCCTTACATTCCATGTCTGTGAGGCACAACAGGAAGCAGGAGGAAATCCCCCTTAGAAGACTTCACTCACTTCCTGTTTGGGTGACAGCTGTAAAATTTTGTAAAATGGAAAACAGGAGAAAAAAAAAAGAAAAACGTCATCAAAAACATTCAATTAAAAGGGCTCTAATACTTTCTTACCCTATCCCAAAAACAGCTTTAACTTGAATCTCAGTTCAGACTTCACTTTTCCACAAAACTGGAGTTTCCTCTAAACCTCTAAAAACTAAAATTAAATAAGCACGTTTGTGAAACATGGCAAGGCATGGCAACATGGCATGGCAACATGGCATAGCTCCCCTTAAAGAAGTTTATTTTATTCAGAACTCTCTTGCACAAGTGATGGGATACAAATTGAACTTCAGATGGCTGTGTTGTACTGATCTTTGTCAAAAGTCTTGGAGGAATCACAGACCATTTACTAGCACTGAACTGGGCAATTACTTTTTCAATGGCAGGACCTGTATTTTAGTAGTAAGGATAGGTGAACCAAAGTGGGCCAAGTACTGTATGCTCCCGACAGCAATACCAAATCGGTTTCTGGTATCTTTTAGCATTGTTGTCTAATTATCATATATACTACAAAGTAATAAGATTCACAGTGTTAATATGACAAAACAGAACCAATTGGAACAGACTAAGCCCAGCTTTTGGGTGTCAGTAACAAAAGTTGGGCCAGCCTCAAATATAACTATTTTAAACCCTCTGTAACCCATGCCCCTGGGTTGTGCTGGATACCGCATCTCTATGGGCCCAGACCAAACAACCCATCTCTTACTAAACCTGCGAACCGGTCTGTTTATGGTGGCATATATACAGTTGCACTGTTATCTCTGTGAGCAGCTGATTTCTTTAGCCTTTGGGCCGTCTGCATAATACACCAACTGATTTACTGATGCATGCATGGAAAAACAGACTCAGTGACATTTCAATCACTTTAAAATGGAGGTTGATTTGATTAAAAATAAAATGAACACTTAAACATATTTTCTCCTCTATTTCATTACAATTAACCCAATCGCTACAAGATGGGCCTGAAATGCGCAGATTTATGTAATGATGCGGGTGTCTCGTGTGGCCCCGGGGTCACGAGGGAATGTACAAAAAATGGCATTGTGATACAATACTCAGTTATTAATCTTCATTTACAGACCAAGTAGATGAAACAAAGGAACAAAGTATACTTTCAATAATGTGCAGCAGCTATGAATTTAGAGAAATAGGCTTTATTGATAGGCTTTATAAAAGCTGCATGCAATTACAGTGCTGAATGATTTGAATAATAGACTGTCTGACATATTCCAGGATAAGTGGCTGCTACATTTCTCTGATATTAGGGTCATATACTCATCTATTCTTACTCCAAGCTCTCCTTCGCCTGGTAATAAATTAATTTCTTAGTGTTAGTTCGGCATGTGCCCTACAGTTAAATTCATTTTCTCTCTCACTGAAGGAAAAAGTTGGGAAAAAAAAAGTTAAGATGTTATTTCCGATTTCACAGCAGTTTCTTACAGTATGCAAATTGCAGCTCATGAAGTTTCTGGGTGAGGAAGTGTAATAAAGCCTATAAAATGATATAAAACAGAGTTAAGGTATCCATACAAATTAGAAGGCCTTCTTGTCTGAAAGGTTTTGGACGATAGGTAGTGTATTGGAAACCACCAAGATCATAGAAAGGCTCTGTAGGCTTGGATAGAAAATGGCATACAATTTCTCAGCCTCCAGTGTGGATGCAGAGACATCCTTCACAATGCAATTCACAGATGTTAGAAATGTTGCATGTTATAATTAATTATAGTGCTCCTTCAAGCATCCAGATTTCAGCATATCTGTAAAACCAGCACTTATGGTATGGTACTTAAAGTGCCCCTGTGCCCAGACTATAAATATAAAAGTATTTACACAGTCTTAGAAAACTGTAAAAGGGTGTGTTCGAGTTGCGCATACTGTATGTTTAAGTATGCCCATACAATGGAGGAGGACGTAGGGGTGAAGATCATTTATGTTTTTTTTAGCTTTATTAATATCACAAGGAGACTAATAAGTTCCATATATCATTCGAAGAAGAGCATAAAATATACTTCCTACAGAGAGATCAGTAGTATATTAGACCCCTGATGTCTCTCCTGCACAGAGGCCAAGCAAACTGGGGACACAGAGTCCCCTCAGCTAGCCGGGAACTGACAGAAAGAACCTGGAAGTGCTGCCCATCCTGACAAACTGTGCCTTGCTGATTCTGTGCTAACAGGAGCTGTAGAAGAATCGGAGGGCAGGTAGGTCTGTGAGGGGTGGGTCTGCACACTGAACAGGTTGTAGAAATAATTGGATATAGTTTCACAAATCACTTCTACATAAAACAGGAGCAATGTGCTTGTTTTTATCCCCTTTTGAAACTTTATACCACTTGGTACTGTGAGTTAACATAATACAAACATTTTAATGTCCCAGGGTGCGTGAAATGTGATGCAGAATCATCAACGACAATGTTCATGTGTTGGAATTGTGGCACATCAATGTTACCAATCTGAATCAAAGGGAAGATGCTTCATGTAGACTTGATCTCAGATTACAGTTCAGTAACCCAAACTATAATGATATCATATGATCTAGAACAGTTTTCTAGAGATTTATGTGGCGCTGCCAAGTTGTATTCCAGCAATCACATAAACATTGTGATTTGTAATTATTCAACTTGGTACAAACCTCAACCTCTTAGGCTGGGTTCAGACCTAGGCGTATAGAATATGCGCTTTTGTCGCACGTTTTTACCGCGATTCACGGTAAAAAAAATGCATGACAAACGCGCGTTTCCGAGGGCTACTCGGCTGTATCCCAATGGAAACGCGAGACCAAAACTCCCCAAAGAAGTACATGTACTTCTTTGGGCGTAGGCCGTTTTGTAGCGCTTCAGACGGGCTGAAATACGGAAAGGTGTGAACCATACCCATCGGAAACAATGGGATTTTCAAGTTTGTACGTTTTGTAGAGCGTTCATAGAGCATTGAACGCGCGACAAAACGTAAAGGTGTGAACAGGGCCTTAATCCTTTCAAAACCAGAGGTTGTTGAAGCCTAGATGCACGCAGAACAAATTCAGCATCAGTGTGTCGGCTATTTAACAGTAGCATTGCCCACAGCTGTTACAGTGCTCTGGGGTCTCCATCAAAATGTATGCATGAATATATTGCCTACCTATACATATATATATATATATATATACACACATAT